AAAAAAAAAAAAAAACAGAGGTGGAGCCCCTCCCCTGTAGTAAGAGCAGACCCGGGGCCAAGTCCCACCAGATGGTGTTCTTCATTTCTGGCCATGGATCTGTGTATTCCCGCCACAAGCGGCGGTCAAGAATGAAGGACACAGGCCAGTGGGACCTGTCCCAGGGCAGAAATGGGGAGGAATCAGGACAACCAGCAAAAAAACAGGAAAACTATGCCACAACTAGGAAAAACTTCAAAAAAGGAATAATTTGCAAAATACCACCATAAGTTGAGAGATATATGCCAAAATGTCCCTAACAGATGTGGGTAGAGAGGAATGCCCCTCTGACGACCCCCATCTTTGCAATATACCCTCACTGGATACCGCCCAACTTTGCAAAATGCCCCGGTACTTGCCAACTTTTCCTAGGCGCTATATGCAAAAGGCCAAGGCCCAAACTGGGGAGGTCCAGATTGCACAGTTGCACACCCGCCTGATACGGGCACAACACAAAGATTTCGGCCCGAAAGGGCATTCCGCTCTACCCACATCTTTCAGGGGCATTTTGGCGTATATCTCAACTTATGGGGGTATTTTGCACATTTATCCCCCCCCCAAAAAAAAGGCTAACAAAACTAAAACTAAAAGGCTAAAGATTAAAAGGCTAAGGGGCTCATTAGACACTCCTCGGGCGCGTAAAATCCCCGAGGAAATCTTTGTTCCACCTATCCTCGGCGAAAAAAAAAGAAAAAAAACGTGAAAACATTTCCTCGGGCCATCCTCGGGCTACAGCCATTTTGCGGCCTCCCCCAAGGTACCTCCAGAGGTACTTCGGAGGTGAACGAGAGCGGCGAGGGCACCTGTCGTCGGAAGGAAATTTTCGTTGGCTGGTCCATTGGAGGTCTTGCCGGGGGGCGCACGGACATCGTCGGTCTTCAACGTCCGGCTTCCAGGAACGGTACCCCAACGGCAACCGTTGGTGGCCTGCTGACTCCCACACACGTCGTCCACAGCCGTTCTCACTCACAGCACGTGCCGCCAAACGGAAATCGGGGCAATGGATGGAAATTTTGAATATTTGAGCCCGCCGAAATTTCTATTCCGAGCTGCACAACGTGAGCCATGACGACGGCGTTCGTCGGATTGTACAGTCTGCCGTTTCCTGCCCCTTTCTCGTCGCCGTTTCCTGCCGTTGTGTCGTCACCGTTTGCTGGAGTTGTACCGGCGTCGTGCAGTTACCGCCCTTCACCGCGTGTCGTTCATGGCCAACGTCTTCCGAAGACTACGGCTGTTGTTCCTGGTGTTGGTCACACTTCTCCTTGTCGTCGTGTTCCACGTGTGCATCCTCGGTAGGCTGCCTGGACGCACGCGCAAGAGGCGTTCATCGACGAAGGGCGTCATCATGGAAGGGCGGCGGGCGAAGAACAAGACTCTAGTGGAGCGATTCGCAAGCAACGGGCCGCGGAGCGTCCCGACGTGCACTGCAAGGTCGAACGACCCGTCTGCATACGCGCACCTGCCACCGCACGAACAACCTCTGCCTAACACGTCCGATGAGGAGGCGGAGGAAGCACGGTCACGTACCGTGGCACTGGGAAGCGGCTCCACCCAAGAGTGGGCGGGGAGCTAGTTGTATGGGAATCGTGAGACGACGTTTCGCCAGTCCTTCACCAAACTGCTAGAAGATGGCATACGCGAAAGCGACACTGTAAACAACGTCAATGATCTTTCATTCGGTTTGTAAAGCGGGAGTTCATCGGCCGCCACACGCACTGTCCTCGTGAACCCACACCCTGACGACGACGCAGGGCAAGTGACGCTAGTGGGCCGATCTGCAAAGGCTCCTTTCGGGGAATGGGTGGCGTTAGAGAAGACAAAGGAGCGTCCGAGAGTGCAATCAACGTCGTCGTCAGCAGCACATATCACTGGCAGTCGACCAAAGTGGATGCAGCCTCCATCGCCGTTGTCGGGAGGTGGCAGCAAGGAGAGCCGCACGCCTGACTGTGGGCCGGCGGACGAAGATTTCGTGTCCGGTGGTCGTGAGCGGGATGGGAGGCAGGTGTGGGCAGAACATCGGCAGCAGGTGCGTCGAGAACGCGAGGAGTCGATAACGTGTGGGGTGGAACGACTGTGCGTGCGGGAGGTGAACACAGAGAAGGAGCCATCGGTGCTGGACGCCGACAATTACAAGGACATCGTCGAGGACAAGGAACGGCAGGACGACGAGATTGGCAACGTTTGGGCGATGCGGAAGAAATCCATGGGTGCGAGGGGCAGGAACAACAAGGCTCCAACGTCGTCCTCGCGTCGGGAAAAACGAGCGCAGCCTGCGGGGAGCAAGGGGGAAGGCGACATGGAGGCCGAGGGCGGGCGAAACTTTTGGTCAGTCGACCACATGGTGGCCCTCATCAGGGCGAAGCGGGACCAGGATGCGCATTTGCAAGGGATGGGGCACGTGTACGCTCGCATGAAGCCGAGGGAATGGAAGTAGGTGGATGTTGAAGAGAGGTTGAAGAAGGTGGGCGTTGAACGTCGCAATGAACGGATAGCGGACAGGTGCGGGAAGAAATGGGACAACTTGATGCAGCAGTTCAAGAAGGTGCCCCTATTGCAGGGGGAGTCTGGGAAATAAGACTTCTTCCAATTAACAACGAAGGAGAGGTCAGTGCATGGCTTCAATTTCACCATCGATCGGGTCGTGTATGAGGAGATCAAGGAGTCGACCGCGAAGAGTTACACCATAAACCCAAAGAATGTCGTCGACACAGGCCGTTCGGGTGGTGTGGAGCTGCCGTCCGGGGGTTCAGGCGGCTGAGTCTGTTGGTGATGGGGACGCTGCTGGCGACGGTAACGAGGAAGATGAGAGCTCGACGAAAGGTTCGTCACCAACGACGGGTACCGGTGGGGCTTTTGGCAAGCGGAAGAACATGAGGCAGCAGACTTTTGAAGCTCTCACGGAGTGCATGGAGAAGCACGAGACAGTCATGGCGACAGCGATGGATAGCGCTAGGAAGAGGCAGTGCTCCATTCAAGTTCGACAGTGCGACGCCATGAAAGCGGAGGTTGAGGTCCAGAGAAAGCACTACGCGGAGTTGGACGACGTCAGCAAGCTGATGTGCCATGCACTTTTGGAGATAGCGAAGGCTATACGGGAGAGGCAGAAACGTGGGTTTTTGCACTCAACGTCGTCACCCATGGAACTTGCTGTTTGCCATTCACTGATCCGCATCGTCTTCTATCGACGTGGATGCCCTGTCAATGCTGTCGTCGGTCGTCCTGGCACCGGCCTCCTCCTTGCCACCGATGTCTTACTGCCCGCCCTTGGGGTAGTATAGGAGAGGAGGGGGGTGGTCGGTACGGGTTGTTGTTGTGTTTCGTTCCGTCCGTGTTGGTTTTTTTATTCGTGTTTTTTTTTTTTTTTTTTTTTTTTTTTTCATTTCAAAATTAAGACTGCCACCCTTGGGTCCGGAATGCGTTAGAGAATACTGTAGATTTGTTTTTTTCTCTCGCATTTTCGAACGTGTTGGTTGTAGTGACGTGCGACGTGCGTGACATTTTGCCTGGTTTTAGCTTGTGGCTGCCAAGTCCAAGCCTTGTCCGATTGTCAGCGATTCATAATTTAACGCAGCCACAACCTGCCCTATATTTTAAGCTCTCTCTTTCTCTCTCTGTGTCTTGCGTCATGTCAGTCTCTTTGCTCGTTCCTGATTGATTCTCGACAACAGCCAAATTAATTAAGGACGTCTTGTGAATGCATTATAGGTAGACCATGCGTACGGGGGTGTTTGTGCTCGAATTAAAACATCATATGAGCTGGATTTACCAATGGTAGACAAAAAAATATATGATGCAATCATCAATTAGTGCTCATGCACAAAGGCGGCATCTTTAATGCAGTCCTCCTCTGGAATATAGATTTCCGCAATTCTCGCAAGAGGCTAGAGTGAGCATTCATGGTGTGCTGGAACTGAACCGTTTTGCAATATTGGATGTCTGCTACTTTTGTACATTTGTTTGATCTGCATCACCCTTGTGGTATATAAAAGCGGACGACAATGACAAAACGAATATTTTTCACACACACACACACACACACACACACACACACACACACACACACATAGTAGGTTGTGACAGTGCCGATGGGAGAGATTGAGGCATGCAGGAAAAAAGGGGGTGGGGGTCTGTTGGGGTTGGGCTTGGTATGCGAATGCGGGTGTTGTAGGGGTGGGTTTACATGGTGTGTGCTCCTACATGCCCCGTTTTGGTCGGGTGGGGTTGGATGCCCTGGGGGTCGACGATATATGCCCTGGGTGCCGCCGCTGCGGGGTGAGCAGGGGGTCGGTGCCACTTGCGTCTGCCTGATTGCGGAAGGGTCCATTACCCTTTCGCAATGAAGAACCGCTTCAAAAGTGGAGGACGGCAGATGAGGAGACCAAGGGGTCTGCGGATTGGTGCAGACGCGGTGGTGGACGTTGACGGCATACTGGATACTATTCGCGACAGACGTGTCGTTGTCAGCTGTAGATGTCTGCTGAAGGATTTGTATTGGCGGACTACAGGCGTGCCCTCCTCGCCCAACACTGCCCCACATCGCGGATATATACAGCGCCTCGCCAAGATCGTCCACCTTACCGCCCATACACCGCCCGTCTTCTGCCGTCGTGTACACATCCCCGTCTCGCCATTTTGACGTCCACCTCGTGTGCTCGACAACCGTCGTCGAGTATGTTGCCCCGCAATATTGTTGCCAAGCGGTCTGCCTTTCGTCTGCGTGCTCGCGTTGTGTTGTCTGGCCGCGGCTTGCAAACCGCGCACTACAAATCCAACACACCGCCACGTGTTTCGATCCATCACCGATCGTTCTTTGCCTCAATTGTCCGCAGGGACGATTGAGGTGGATCCCCTCCCATCTTTCAACCGCCTATGTCACCTGCCATCGTCTCGAGCGTTGCGTTCGTCGTGTGAGCCGCGCAGATCATTTGCCTTCACGCGCACTCACGTTGATGGCCGTATTCTCCAGCGCCAAATGTGAAGTGCGCAGCGAGGGAGTCGCTGCTCCACAACGAAATTTTCACGCAGATCTCCACGTCGACGGCGCTGCGATCGACCACACGCCTGGATCACTGTTGCCGATTGATCGACTATGTGAACCGGGTCTTTTCGTGGACGATTGTCATTCCATACAGTCACGAAGGGGGGACAAGTCTTTGTGCAGTTCACGCCGTCATCGTTGTGCTCTATTAGTGTCGTCAACTTCACCATGTCGTCGCGTGGTGGAAACCGTGGCAAAAAGAGGGATAGTTACGAAGGGGAGACGAAAGTGCCAGTCAAGAAAGGACGACATGCCGCGAAGAAGATGAAGGCTGTCGCAACGGGCCCTTCAATAGGAGGCCATGTCAGGGAGGACTCAGAGGATTGGGTGAGGGATTCTAATGTTGGCTGTGCGGACAACGACTTTGTGTCTTACAACGACGTCAATGATGTCAGACAAGCGTCCGTGCGTGCACAAGGGGGGGTGCACATCAACGAGCCACGCCAGCAGACTGCTACACAAACCCGCGGTTGGGGGGGGGGGGCTGCAAGGGTGGTGTCGTGATAGATGTGGACACCGTTGCTGCGGCGAGGGAGGTGCAAGACAAGGTGGCCTCGCCGACGGCGCGCACGGGGGGGGGGGCGGTGCGAGGATACGTGTAACAGCGCCGCCTGAGGGCCAACAATCTGGATGGGTCCAATCATCCCCAGACACGCCACGCGGCCAAACAGTTCCGGATGGGGAAGGCGCTGCCAATGCGGCGCTGCAAGGGACCGTCCACGAAACAGATCAACCACACGTGGCGGATGCGCAAGGTGGTGCGGCGGTGGGCTCTTCCAGAGCAGCGGTGGTGGGTGCAGCGCCCGCGGAGAGCCGTGAGGATTGCGACGATGACGAGCCTCTAGCGAACAGGCAGAGGCCCGGGAATGCGCGAGACACGATCGAAGCCACGACGAAGCTGTGGGTGGATGACATGAGGTTCTGGAATGAGACGGAGGGCCACAGACTTTTCAAGCTCATCCAGGAGGCACGCTTGTATTTGCTGGCCATCGCCGGGGGAGTAACCCCTCCCGAAATCAGTCGGAGTATAGCCCTCCCGCACTCCACCATCCCGCAACACAAAATCGACGACGAGTCATTGCTGAAGGCGCCGAAAGAGAGGGCGATCAAAGTGCAGAGCATCGCCTTACGCGTCATCCATGGTTGGATCTTCAAGTCTGGGAGTTGCGCGCGGGGCTACCACGCGGCGTACGGGTACATGCTCAACCACGCTGCGACGGACATCGCCCGCGTCATGTGGTTTGGAGAGGAGTGGCACAGTTGTGTCAACCCCGCTGTGTGCCACATCACATTGGAGTTGGACATAATGCTTCCCATTTGGTTCGTCGACGCGCACATCGAGGAGAGGCACGAGGACGGCGAGATGGCGTGCTACCAAGAGGCTACCGTGCTGCGGCTGGTGGGCGCCTTCACGAGCGCCATCACTCTAGCGGAGGGGATCGACGGAGGCCTCATATTGCACGACAGACTGAGGAACGTCGCCGACGCCTACTGGGTTCTACTCGCCACCGCGATGTGGCTCATGAGGATGAGTGGTGATAATCTGCGTTCCCATTTCGATGCCTCCCTCTTTGTTCAGCTCACCACGAAGCCGACAAGCGACGTTCATGCATTGGTCATTCGATGCGCATTGCCATATCCTCCAGGCAGCCGCAGTTGTCACAGAGAGGATGGGCAAGCCGACCTTGACGTTGGTGGAACCGCATGTATACATCCCGGACTAGGTATCGTGTGGCATCACTTTCGGATATGACACCACTCTTCCATCACCGGTGGACGCCAAAAGGATGGACTGGTTGGGGACTAGCCCCCCAGAGGAGGATGAAGATGAAGCTGCCGCCGAGAAGGATGATGGAGGGGGGTAGACAACTGTGGATGACGTGGCGAGACAATGGTGATCGATTCGCCATGTGAAGGAGAGAAGAGGACGGCCACGCAGCGAGTTGTTATGCATTGGATCGTTGATGGCCGGAGAGTCGGTTACTCGGGCATTTCGATGGCCTAGCCAGGGGGAGAGGGGGGGGGGGGGTCAAGGATGGAGACACCGGGGAGGAAGATTTGTGCCACATTGCGGTCATTTGGTGGCGTGGTTGCTTTTTTTGGGGGGGGAAGCGGAGTCTGCTTGTCGTCGTCGTCTGCATTGTCGAATGCAGAACGGTTTCAACTTTCCTGGGGTCCAGGTTAGGGTCCACGTGTTTATATCGTGCACCATGTTTTTTGTATGTTTCACAGTGACAAACTATTCTCGCCATCAGCCACGGGTCTTTGGTCTGTTTGGAAGCGCATGTGTGGGGTCGTCGTGTGAGCGTGATGCATGCAATTTGAGATGTGATGAATGCTTTAGCATTGTATTTTTTTGTCATTCTCGCCATCGACGACGACCTTTCTGGTGCATGCTTTCCGTGGACTGTGTAACCGTTTGAATGCACCGAACGAGCATCCGCGTTCAAACGCACACGTTCAAATGGTCGGGGGGCGCGTTCAAACACGCTACGTGCCACGTGACGCGAATCAGTTGAACGCGACCCGCCCATCCGCATGCGCACATGGCGAACTGTGGGTGAGAGATTCGGTTCTTCAAAAAAAAAAAAATGAAAAAAAAAATTGTGGCAGTATATTTCCATGTTCTAGCGGTAGATTTATTCGATTTTGCTCATCGAACCGATGGAGTACCATAAGGTCGACCACGCGGCTGTTGGAAACTTACCTACTCTCTCTCTCTCTCTCTCTTTTTTTTTTTTTTCTCTCTCTCTCACACACTCACCCTCACAAAAAAAAAAAAAAAAGGTGCAGCAGTGTATATTT